AGATTTTCTTAGTAGCAAATAATCTTTTTAAAGTTTTGTTTTTTTCCAACATTCTATGAACACGCATGTATTCAAGTCCACACTCTATTAACAATTTTAATTAAGGTCTAATAGAAAGTCTCTTAAGAGCGATAAAGAACATAAAATATATTTTGTTTTTGCTTCATTAGTATTAATTGAATTGTAAATAAAATTCACGACCTTTATCTTATCAAGGAAATTGTGTTATGCTACGTTCGTTTTATAGTCTAGAGTCAACCTCTGTAGCTATAATACCATTTAGGAAATCATCACCTCATAATATTAATATTAATATTGTTCTCTCTACATCAAACTTCATTGGTTGTTAGGTTTGATAGTAAAGAACTTAGCTTATATTATTATACCTAGTTAATTTTAAGCTATCATTCAAAATAGTGGCAGTGCGTTGGCGCATTTCGTTTCATGCCTTCTGTTATAATCTTAATGTTACTTCTCGAATTCGTAAAAAGCATTCTAATAACATTTTAGAATACGTAAAGGATTATTAAAATTGAAATTTACTTCCGAATCGTTCTAAATTAAAGCACTATAAGGAAATGTTGACGAATTGTTCGTCCTTCGTGATCCTAGAATCATTGGTGAGAGGGTGTGGCGACGTTGCCGTACTGTGTGGGCGCATCGCATGCTGCGTTTCGCGCGTTGCCACACCGTACAACAATGTTGCACACAGAACTTTTTTTTATGGTTTAACAACAATATCCCATTTTATATTGCATAGCTTGCAACTTTGAGGTTATTCGAAATGTATTTTGATTATATGCGACTTTCTATGACAAGTATCCTAGAATAAATTAAGCTTTAAGCTTTTTAAAGTTTTTGGTGCATGCAAAGAAATGTGATAAAGCTGGACTAGGCTGGTGGCTATATTTATACCTATTGAAGTAAGCTCGCTAGAAGTTAATATTTTTTAAAACCGATGAATTCTAATAAAATTTATGTCACAATAAAAGAAGATGTCTATTTCTGGTTTAAAAATATAATCCGTGTTTCAATTGTATGATAACAGGATACATTTTACTAAAACACCACATGCTTCAAGAAATACTTCTAGTTAAGAAATACTTCGCTTTTCGTTGAAAATAAAACAATTATCATTTAACAACAATTAAAAGTTATACACAATTCAGAATTTACGCGGTAACAATAAGAATTTTTTTTGTAATAACTAATTCCGTAAATGTGGTGGTAAAAAGTTAATGTAACGTTACGTTTGGAAAGCTCTTTTTTATGTTTTAAAAGTTGTAGTCTTGTGAATTAAAATAGTGCCATCTTGTAACAAATAACATAACTACGAGAACAACTTTTCTTGTGAGGAGAGTTGGAATTTGGTTAATTTTAAATGTTATTCCAAATTAGAATTTAAATCGAAAATCACTCTTTATTTTTCAGCTAAACTTCATAAGCAAGTTCATAGTATTTTTGTAAATCACACACATTTTGGTGGTTGACTTTCTTCTAAATTTCGATATAAAAAAATCCTTCAAAGAATTTACTTAACGCCATCTATTGCCACAGTCTAAAACTATCGCAATGTAGTAGCTGAAGTAGTTTACAATACCGTCAATAGATGGCACTATTAGTATCAAGTCAAAATTGGAATTTATTTAGTTGTTTTAAAATAAGTGTGTTATTATTTACTGCAGATCTCTGTCGATTAAATTCATTATATTATTTAAATATTAAGGTACATTAAACTCTTACTTTTTATCTCAATCTTTTCAATACATAGGTCTTGAAGTCTTAACTTTCTACCTAGTCTTTAGGCTCAAATATAACCAATGTCAGTCACCATAGTAAAAGATATATCGTATTTTTCAGGTATTTTATAAGTTAATCACACTAGAGTACTATTAAGGCCAAAAAATGAATTCAAATGATAATATAAAAAGTAAATCTAATCATCTCGGCTTTCAGCAACTTTCAGGCTTCCAGATAACCTTACACAGGTGAGTGACTGAACGATAGAATGAAAAGCTTGAAGGTGACGTCACTTGTCAATCAGGAAACGTTATCGAAACACTAATCTCTACAAATAGAAAGGCTATAAACCGTAATATTTTTTTATAGATCAATGTTATGCTACAAAAACATTTTTCTATTTTTCACCTTAACTTTAGCTTGAAAACAAATTAAGTTGAATTCGAACAGAATTTAATAACGGCATATCTACATATGATATGCTCCTTATAACAATTTACAATATATATCTACAAAATAACCTAAAACTGAATAAGAATGTCGATCAGTTGCATTTAATGTCGTATTTACGTTGTTGTTTTCGTTATTTATAGGATATTTTAAATTAAAATAGTGATGCGTTGAATTTTTTTTAAAATTTTACAGTCACACGAGTTAGTTACATGACAACATTATATTGAACCAATTATCCTCGCGTCTCTTGACTTGCAGCGCCATCTGGTTGTAAAAAAAGGTTTCCAGCGGATGTCCGGTTTTAATGTTGTTTAATTAATATATTTTGCCATTAAAATAGTGTTAATTATTTTAAACTATAATGTTTCATGTTACTTATATACTCGCGTGTGTGGAAAGTATGGAAAATGTTTATATTCGCACAACTTTATGTGATAGCAAATGTTGTTTTGTCTTTAAAGACATTTTTTTTCAATACCCTGTGAATTTACCATGAAAATCATTTTTAGAACTAGTGTTTTCCAAGATGTTTTTATGGTGAGATACCTCATTACTCATATCATAAGCTGTGTCCTTTTTAGTTTTGCTTTAATCTTTGTATCATGGAGAGGTCTTCTGCTATGTATAAAGTATATTATAATAATAAATAAAAAGTACTTACTTCATTATATTCAAACGTGATACCATAATAATCTGTGTAATCATTCGCATAAAGCATTTATAGCCAAAATGTATAGAAAATTCGCTCTTCAGATGTCTAGAATTCAGAAGGAAGTATGTTTTTAAATAAATGTCTGTGCTTTTTAAGTTGCAAATTAAGCAAATGTTGTATTGCTTTCAATGTTGCTTGTTTCTTGCATGTGTGCAATATTGTAAATGATGAAATATGTATACAGTATTCAAGTATTACAAATTGTGAAACTTAAATGGGGTGAAACAAAATAAAATTTGTAATTTATTTGTAATCTGTATATTATACACGAATAGGCAAGGAGTGAATCAATAAAAATATGCAGTCTCCATAGAGATACAACAGATTATTGGAATAGGGTGTTAACTCCATCTAATACAAGTGCCTATTGATAACATTAAAATTGAAGTCAAAAATTTTACATTTATAGCAGTATCAACTAAAAGTAGCATAATAAATATTAAAAAATAACATGACCATAGTTTTTGGACAGCAAATAACAATAAAAACATCCTTTAGTATAGATATTATAATATCTCCTAAGCAAGATAAATGAAAATAACATTTTAGAATTACATTTAATTTATTTTGCCAATTTTAACACCAAAATCTATATCTTGTTTTGTGTAATATAATGGTATGAAGTGACATAAAGTAGCTATGAATATGTATTCTTGAGAAAGTACAATAAACATTACTCAATACAATATGTGTGGTAGTTTGAAATATTTTTTAGAATCAGATTTAATTCCAATTTCATAACTTACTTTCGTAATTTGAAGTTAAAACAATAGAAGATCACAAACTATTTTAAAAAGCATTCAAATTTAGAACATGCCGTTATCTTTTACGATAGCCACTAATTAGATATCAATGTATAACTACTCTATGACACATATGCACTACGTTTTTTTATGAAATATGCATAGTCAAATAGTGTACAAAACGAATTGTGCTTGAAGCGTTTAATAGTTTCGCTACGTCTTAATAACCATACAAAATAAATATCAAGATCTTTTTACGGAAAGAGATAGTGATAGACATAGATCGAGTTTAGATACAGCTGGAAATTTTAAGTCTCCAAGATAAAGATTTCCGAATTCATTTAAAACAATTCGTAAAATAACTAACATAAATAAACATTAACTGAATTATATAACAGTTTTTAAAACAGAATTTAAATTCTGCAAGTTTAACAACACAATTTCTGTTCAGATATCGAAAAGGTTCATATCATTTAATAACGGTACAAAAAAAACAGACTCTTAAGGGCCGCCATAGACGGACTGCTTAAAGCATAAGACAGACTGTTTGACGTTTATATTACATAGACCACATATTACAGTCGGTGGCTGTACGCTGACCGTTTGAAGCTGTCGGTACTAATTGCTTAAAGCAGTCCGTATATGGCAACTCTTAGATAAATTTTGTGACAATAGAAAAATTATATCTATACTAAATTATTAATAATAATTATTTAGAAAAAGGACTAACAAAAATACTAATACGTCAGCTTTCAAAACGAGACTCGTAATAATGAAATGTTGGGTATTTGTGAAGGAGCTAAATAAAGGTACTTTTCTCAGTTTTTTCTTTCGAATGCCATTTCGTGATATGTTAAACAACACCCTGTTAGCGGGTACACCATTGATGAGTATTATTGATCCCTCTTCTTGTGCATCAGTCCTTTTGTTGCCCTTAATCGTATCCTTGATAAGATTAAATACAAAAATTATTGCGGCTCATAGTTAGCCAGAGAGCGCATGTCTGCGCGTTCGGCACACTGCGGTTGGAGGAAACTTCCTATAAGGCGACCCCAGCCCTGTCGACATGTAATGTTCTGCGCAGTGTTGTGTAAAGATCCGAGCCGCCATTAAGTTTGGATAGCGTTATACACGCGTCGCATGATTCATTCTATCAAAATGAGTTGAGTTTGAGATTAAACGTTCTTTACTTTAAAGTTTTAGCGGAAACATAAAGCTAATTAAATAAACATTTTAAAAATACAACAAATAATAACATATTTCAATACGGTATATAGGATATTGTATGTTTTTTATCATTTTTGAAAAACATTTTTGTAATTGAATTTACTTTAGATTCGAAATTCAAAACCCCAGAAAAGTAAAATGTAATGCGTATTTCTACTTGTTACGCACAGATAATATAATTTCTATTAAACCGAGCTGTAAAATATTCCGAAAATGTAAATTTAATATTAAACATGTAAAATAAATAAAAAGTGAAAAAAGTTTTACAAAGAAAGAACAATAAATTCATTCCAAACACTAAAGTAGGTAATACATTACAATTAATATAAAACATGGAATGTCCATTGGTCAAATTATTAATTTTCAGTGCAGAATATTAATTTTAAATATTTCACAAAATTATTTACCACCGTATGGGAACCAGATTTCTTCTATCTGCGGAGAGGACATTACAATAAGCTTGTTAAACCAGATGTTTCTGTGTGGTACAAGGTCATACAAAATTTATCAAATTCGTTGATCTATATTTAAAATTGATTCCAACTGCACTGAAAACTGTAATAATAAGATCTTAAAAGTAAGCGCGTATTAAAACATAATTTTAATCAGTAAAATTTTCATGACCAGAAACTAACTTAAGTACACCTTGTTAATAAAATTATTAAACTAAAAATGACTTTCATTTATAAATGTACAGAGTTAAATAGATAGTTAGGGAAGGCTTAAAGTTTAAAATAAATAAAGTACTGAATAACCTATTTGTACAGAGAACTAGAAGGCACAGTAGTGGGTAGGCAGAACAGAAGGAAATGACGTTATAGATAAGTTTAAATACTTAAATACACCTAGAGTTATTAATTAAAAAAAATCTTGGAGCACTATACGACATGTTATTTGGTAAAGCATTAAATTAAAACTGGAAGTTGCTTAATCTAAAGGGTTGCAGTTTACAACTTAACCCATACAAGATGGATAAAATTTCGCGAATAGATGAAAACACCAATAATGAACATGAATATACACCAATATTGACGTTATTATTTACGCTTCTTATTAATAAATAAGTTTTTGGTTAAAGTTACATAATTAGACTTAACCATCAACGGAGATGATCAGATTGCTAACGGTAAGTCGAAGTGCACCCGTCATGGTAGTTATAGTCTCACACGAGTCCGCACAGAGGTATAGAGCAATGGGACAGAACAGTACTAATTTGTTTTTTATAATATTTGTTGATGTGCTGTTAGCTAACTTTTGACAATGATGTTACAAATACCGAGGGCTAGGGACTCTGTATTGACAAATAATGTCTGACCGTTTACTGTCTTCGTGTGAAAGTAGCATAAATTTGCGTCTTAACAACATCAGTAATGCATTCTCAGGTGAGTCCCATCTCGTGTGAAAACATATATCTGTATGATCTAAATACAATCTGATCCTCTCCCCTTACATGTAACGCTAATTGTTTCCTTACAAATAAATTAAGATTGACAAATGTGCAGCACAATGAAGATTCATAAGACATAGAATACATTTATCCCGATAAAACAGTCCGGTGACGTAACAGAATGAAAAATATTACGTTTCGGTTACTGTAATGAGATCCCGATCTGGATAATCCGACAGCGGCACTATGTTCACTCATAATATGGCACATGAAATGCGTCTATTTTAATAAAAATATCCAAGATAATTAATAAGTTTTGTGCGTCCCATACACTAGGGATGGTGTTGTAGTAATTCTTTTTATATTATCATTGGTTCCATAGAGATGTCATTTTAATGTTATTTTAACGAATTACGGTTTTTCATTGTTTTTTTTGTTACCATAAATTTTTGACTGATAATATATACAATCGAAAACAGTACCGAAAAGATGACGAAAGATGTCGCGTTATCTTCAAATATATAGGGTTGTGCAAGTGAACGCCGTCGGGTTATCGCTTACCTAAATACAAATTAAAAGTGTTTTTGTGCGACCGGACTGCGGCTAGTGTGGCGCTACGCCAGCTTAGGGCGCAAGCATCTTTGACAGCTCCTCGTCCTGGAGGCAGCCCTTGAGGAACTCCTCCTGAGTGAGCTGGCCGTCGTTGTTCTCGTCCATTTTCGCGAAGATATTCTTAGCGCGCTCCTCGGCGGAATCAGCCGGCCGGTTGCTGGAGCAAGCGCCGAGCATGTCGTAGATCGCCTGGAATTAAAAGAATTATTATTTGATTAACTGCCGCACTGATACTGGGTTTCTGAAGTTTCCACTTATTTTGTCATTACCTAGTGATTCATTAGCGTTTAGTTGACGTATTTTTAAATGATGTAAAGCTCTAGTTACTAAATTTTAAAACACATTTCATGATCGATAGAACCAAATATACTGACGAATAGTTAAGCTTAGCTGGAATTCCGGCCACGAGAGTCGTTTATTGTGTCTAAAACAGTCCCTTAATGTCGATTGCTTATATTGAATCTACAATCAAAGATTTCAAGATCAGTCAACTACGCAGTAAAGAAGTATTCTGTTATTTACGTCCTTGAAAGCCATTGGGTTCGACCCCCGCTCCTTTAACTATGACAGTAATTTTAAAAAATTGTTAGAATTCTTAGAGAATCGCTAACATATTACTTATTTTTCCTATTGAGACGCAATTATTTTAGTTCGTAAGAACAATGGTGCTGGTGAAAGATTCAAAAACCTGAGTTTTATACCCTATGTCTCCACTAAGCACACATTAAAACTTATTTCGAATTTCAATGATTTTTTTTTTCAGTTTTTAATATTCTAAACTTCTAAACCCTAGAAATAAGTTGGCATTTATACTCAAACGAAAGGAAGTCTATTGAATCAATCACAATATCGCAATATGATGACAAGTTGATATTAAAAATGTAATTCAATTAAGTTTGATATAGGACCAAAAGTTTATTAAAGTTAGAAATGTGTCAAAATGTCTGTTAATAATCCGTTGCCGTGCCATAATTACGATTGATCGAATTCAATAATTAAATTAATTTCTGAGGATTCAGTTCAAGCAATCCATTTGCGAATTGCTGTCACGTCCGCCTACAGAGTTGTATTACTTTGTATATAATGCTTCATTCTATTTATTTGTTAAGTAAATAGTTAAAATAATATAATTTGGTGTACATGTGCACGATTCCAGTGCAAAATCGTAAAAAAGTTCTGTAAAAACTGATTTAACTAAAGTCTAATAATGGGAAAAAGGGAGATTTTTTTTGAATGATGACATTCAGGAATATCTTTATGAAGAGTTCCCTGGGACGAACTCTACGGAAATAAATGTTGTCTAATCACATAGTTTGTATCGTCGACTAACCTGGACGATCTTGGTCATTTCTTGGATGTCAATCACACCGTTGCCGTCGACATCGTACATGCGGAAAGCCCACTTAAGCTTTTCCTCGGGGGTTCCGCTGGAGGTAACATGGATCGCCTGCAGAAATTCCTATAACAAACATAAATTTCGATACACGGCGATTACCCAACAGTCTGTTAGCATTCAAAAAACAAACATCTCGCAAGGTTAAATAAAGCAAAATATTGCAATAGATGGCGCTGCGCAATTAACAGATTGGTACAAAATAATAGAATTAATATTTAAGCTCAGCTTGTTTGCTCATCAAAGTCAAACTAATTAGATTCATTTCAATAATAAATGTAAACATCGCAGTGTAATGGATCGCTTCATATGGATTAATGGCGTTCCTATATTGAACTGATACCTTGAAATCAATGTATCCGTTCCTATCCATGTCGAAGGTGCGGAAAACATGGTCGCAGAACTCGACGGCATTGCCGGACGGGAAGAACATCTTATACATGTCTACGAACTTAGCCGGCGTCAGACGCCCGTTGGGGCAATCTTGCTGTAATTAAAATAATATGCGATTTTAAATTATGATAAACACTTTTTTAATAAATGTGTGCAATCCAGGCATATGCATCCTTGCACTGACACAGGGTTATGATTTATACGTAATTTCACATTACACGTAGAATTATCTTTACCTTGAATCCCTTGTACCATTCTTTGATGGTAGTCTCGTCATAAGATGTATGAGTTTTGAGGAAATCCATATCCTCCTTGGTGAGTTTATCTTTACTGACGAAGCAGCCCATTTTGACTTCTGTAACAATGAAAGAATGTGTGTTGGTTTAAACAGATAATTTTAATGTCTAGGTCATCGCCAGGGTTAGGAATGACTCCAAAAATGTCAGATATAGAATAAAATTACTAACAATAAGACGATATAACAAAGTCAATGGGTACTGTTTAAAATGTAAACGTAAAACTAAAGATCGCTCCAGTTTGTGACGACACAAACTAACCTTTGGTTTTCACTCTGAAACTGACTTACCGATAGTCTATTGTTATGCCTCCTATTAGAAAAGCAAAGATAAGAATATTTGGTGTGTTATAACTAGTTCATCACCAACATAGTCATCATCGTCATCATCTTCCTCCTTATCCTACTCCCTAAGGGTTGGCGTAACAGTATTTGTCTTTCACGTAGCTATATTACAGGTTATCTCAGTCATCACTCACTTTTTGATCATGTCACCTTCCACGCAATCCATCGTTCTCTTTCTAGGTCTATCTCTACCGGTGTACCCTTCCACACTCATAACTAACGTTCTTGTAACATGCGATTCATCTTTCCTCATAACATGCCCATACCTTGCTAATATTTTACTCCTTTCCTTCTCTACCACTGGGGCTACTTTCAAACTTCCTGTAATATGCTAATTTCGTATCTTACATATTTGTGTTACCCCATACATCCATCTTAGTATTCGCATTTCTGCCACATGTAGTCTCCTTTCATCCTTTCCTTTTACTGTCCAAGTTATGTCTTTATCTTAGTAGATATCAACACAGCGTATAATTCGCACAACTTTGCAACACGTTACAAAGTTACAGTTATTTACTTATTAAACTAGGATAAATTTGTTTAGAAATAACTAAATAAAGTATAGGGAACTAACAATAAAGTGCTATAACGAGTTGACAACAAAGGAAACTTCATGTTAGTTACATGAGTTTTATTTGTATATGTAAGTTTTATTTGAACATGCTCTAAGAGCGCGCGTTCTCTCTTTGAAAATAAAAAGCTCTTCAGGATAGATTTTATACAAAACTCTTATTTATTTAAATTTTCCTTATAGTACAAGGTGGCAAATGAATAAACAGCCATACGTTTATCTAAAATATTTAAATAGCCTCAATACATGAGATGCGCATTTTATTCGATATTAAGAAAAAATAGATAACACTTAAAAAGAAGTATTTTTTGCCACGTATTATTAACTGGGATACCGTAAAAATAGTCATGAGATTTGACTTAACAGGCATAGGCTTATCTTTAAGGTATCGCAATCTTGCATTTAGAAAATTACCACTAGAAAGTATCTGAATCATGTCAGACAATCGCCAATATGTAGCCATCCTTTAAATATGTCTAATAATTACAAGGGATTCGATTTTATTGAGGAAAAATTATCGTTAATAAGTGTGTTAAGGTGTTGCCTCATTCATTAAACAAAAATATGATATGCCGAGAAGCGCCTCTCGTTAGAATATTTGCATAATGTTTGTATTAAGGACATTATGTAGGAGTAAATAAGGTTAGATGAATATATTAATGTGTGTATTTAAATATGACGCCATCGATAGACTCGACGTGTCGTGATCATGGAACTGCAAATAACAAAATTTGGCAATTGTATACCGCCCTGAAAATCCTACTTCTTGTCTTAATAATTATACGTAAAACTTTGGCTGGATGTATGTTTGTTTCTAGGTATATTTAGAACGACAGTATGGATCTGAATGAGAATTGGCATGCACGTAGAACGAATATACTATAATAATTAAGTTTTAATTTCCGCGCGGACGGAATCGCGGGCGATAGCTAATATTGTATGATTGAATGGCACTAATCGGATTTTTTTTACAAAATCGCAGAGGCTCTTCACATTGCCTCTATCCTCTTAAAATGTAAAAATATTTTCCATAGTTAAAAGCAATTTCCATGTACCTCCTATACAAAAACCGGCACAATTTGAGTCTTTATTGACTGCTGATGAGCCGGTTTTCAAAGCCATATACCTACATTCGAAACCAGGCATAAATTTTCCTTATTTCTCAAAAAATATCAAATAGTATGTCTTTATTACATTTGAAATTGGTAATTGTTATGACGATTTATCACCGTAGTATAAACCAGCAACTAATAACAGAACATTCACGGCTACGATGATTTGTCTCTAGGTGAGATTACATTGAAAAGCCAATGTTATAAATCTTGCTTTCTTTCGCCGCGTAGTGAAATATTCAACTCGGATTACGTGTGCTACGTATTTTACATTGTAGCCACTTCTCACAACGGCTACATGCATAAGATACCTATTTGAAAAATGTGTTTTTTGTCTTTTGAAAATATAGCAAAATATTACCCAAGACACTTATAAGCTGTGACATAAAACGATACTAACTTAATTTAAGTTATCATGTGTACTTTGTCTTTGACTGTTGTATGTTTACATATGTAGCAGTTATATACATGGCAACTTAAATATTCGAAGTATAAACTTATATCTGCAGAATGCAACTGCATACGAAGTAAAGTTAACATGAAACATCGTGAGATGTTAATATTTTAAGAACACTTTGAGATAGATATGTACTTACTAACTGTACTGTGACTTAGTAACTTCACGTGACAAGAGCAAGCAAACAGGAAACAATAGTTTTACATTTTGTATCTCACATAACTATGGATTAAAAATTTGTTTAAATTGCAATTTGAATCCAAAACAAGTATGTTAAATTAACCACTGGACGATAAAGTTTAAACAATCGTAAACAACTAAAATTAAAATACCATTCAGTATACAAATCTCAGCAAAACTGTTACAATGATATTTATTAAATTCCATTTTCAGTTACTTCCAAGGAAATGTTTTCATAATGTCATACCTGGTATTTAATTTAGGGAGCTTTCATAAAAGGAATTTCATCATAGTGCTGTCTAAAATATAGGATCAAGTAAATAATGAAATTTAATAAGGGGAGTTATGTTTACTTGATTTTGATTATCAATTATTTGTAATTATCTTACTTATTATATTCATATTCATATAATATTATAAATGCGAAAGTTTAGATGGATGGATGTTTGTTAGAGTTTGTAGTCAAAACAGCTGAACGGATCTCGATGAAAATTGGCATAGATGTAGAGTATAGTCGAGAAGAACACATAGGCTACTCTCTTTTGTTTTTTTAAAATCCTCGTGGACAGAGTCGCGGCCGAAAGCTAGTTTGTAATAAAATTAATTACCACTAGCTACTGCGAATGTACTATCATTGTACTATCAGGGAATGTGGTGGTGTTTCATGTTTAAAGCTATATTAGTACGAAAGTTTTGTACGCATTGAGACAACGACGCAGAACAATAACCAATAGGACGCAGCTTTTATATATCTCTTAACGAAAAAAAGCTAATTGATTATTATTATTAAACTGTCGTGGGATAGATATTGCTTATTTGTAAGAAGAGGTGAAGTTTGACTTATTACAAGGAACAAAGCCATTTTTCTGTAAGCGCACCACGGTGGTTTTCCGTGACTGTACATTCCTGTTATATGTACAGTCCCGCCTAATATAGTTTATATAAAATGTTAAGAACAGTTATTAAGGCTTTGTTTTTTTTATCTTTTCTTATTATAAAGTCCTTACATTGAAGGCGTTACGCCGTCATGCCCAATTGTTTGTCCTTGGTACTCGAACACAAAACCTCTAGAGTATCGTGACGGTAAATTTATGATTAATTTATACCTAATGGATTTATAAGGTCAAATGTGGCACTAGTGATGACGTCAATTAATTCGGTCGCCTTTAAAAGTTACAGCAGTATGACTGACATCTGACGATCATTAAAAATTAAATTTTACCATTTCACTGTTATTCCAGCACTGATTTCCCGGATTCGCCGGCACTGGGATTAACGTTTATGATATACAAACGAGTATTCGTAACAGAAATTGTACGGTTTTCATCGATTTTATTTAAGTGGTTTAAAAAAATAATAATATTTTATACAACACAGTTAAAAACAAAATTGAAACTGTGGTTTTAGTTATTGAGTAATGTTGCACAAGTTGTGTACATAAATCTAGAAGATCGTATGCAAACTACTTGTGCCTGTAGCAAACACGTAGCAAACACAAGGACTAAATCGACGTCGTCATGTCCTAGACCAGAACACGTGTCGTAATTGACAATGTACACTTTGCGTTCACTTGAACGTGCGATGTGCACACACACGGAGTTGTAAAGTGGAACTGATAGTGTGTGGCAGACTTCAACTATATTGAAAGCAAACAGTACGAAGCGAGAAGCTATGAATAATTAAATTTAAATTAATATGTAGAGTTGTTGATGTAAGAGAACCTAAGTTAGATATATTACACGGGAATGAGAATGCCAGACATAGATTTAGTTAACCGTATTTGCAGTTAATTTACTGAAAATTGTTAGCTTGCGATATCTTTTTTCATTCCGAATATTAATTTTCGTTATGGTCATCAATACTGTGATTAGTAAAAGTTATAACTACGCATATATAAATATGCTTAATATAAATATGTTTTTTACATTTTAACTTTACAACTAAAATAACCTGCAAAATTTATTTATCTTTACAAAGTTTAGTGGGTAAATTGATCATTACCTAATAATCGAGTATTGAAATTGTCTAAATAGTGTGCTTGTATTTGAGAAAAAGGATCTCTAGTGGTTGTTTAGGGAATAGTAGCAACCCTAGTTCGCGATTTCAGATGGTTATTTTTAGGCGTAGTTGTATGGCAAAGTGAAGTCGTTCTGATTGAAATCTAGCATGACTTCTGCGTACTGAATATTGAAATTACAAAAAATAAAGTGCTTTGTAGTAAAAGTTCGCATGGTGTTGGGCATTCAAAAGCAACCTTCATAATGATTTTATGTAAGATTAAAATTAAGTTGGTCAAACTTATAGAGTTCGTGTTTATGATCAGCCGTTTGTAGATTCAAGTGTGGGAATCGCCTTAGTTATTTACGAATATACGGTTGTATATACATACAGAAAT